AGCAGTCTTCGTTGACCGAGGTATCTGTGATAGTTTGCAAGTAGGAACTATAAGACTAGTACTTGGGAATTAACACTTCTCTGGTTTGGCCATCTTCAGGAACTATACTGAGGTATGTCCCAAGCTTTGTCAGAGTACAAACAAGATATCAACACACAATTCTGCCTTAAACAGGCCTTGTGTGCCTTAAGCTCCAGAGAACAGTGAACTGCAGGTGAGAGTGGCCTTGCACAGTCACAGGCGTCTTAACGAGGACCCCATAGCCTGAGGTCCAGCCGCGTCCACTGCGTTCTCACCGGGAGACAGTCATTACGGCACTCTGCAAATCCAACCAGGCATGCCTTCTCTGTCTCAGCTGTATTTCAGCTAATTTCTTCAGCACTGAACTGGACTCCTAGGATGATGCCCCATAGCTCTTCAGAAAGGCTTCGAACCCGGCCCTGGTGTGGGAGTCTGACTCACTCACTCTTCTGCCTAGCACCCCAGCAATTTCCCCCTCCACAGTATTTCCCATGGTTTTTCAGACATCAGGGCTTTTAGACTTTCCTTGATTTAGGTCTTAGCGCAGATGATAGCAAGATTCCATTCATCACCTCCAATACAGAGCACAGTCTTCGGCACATTGTAGTTAGTCATAAATTCTATGGCAATTGCCCGGAATTGTGAGACCACTCAACTCTGGCCCAGAGAAACACAGCTTGAGAGCAAACCTTGCAGTGTTAGGAGTAGTCATATATTTGTAGGTCTCACGAAGCTTCAGACAGTGGGGCCGGTTTGGTCACAGTACAGATCAAAGAGACTGAATGCAGTTTTCATCCTACTTCTGATTCATAATATCATTCAAGTTTGTGTCTCACTAAGAAGGAGCTTATGATTTAAAGCACAAAGGATAAGTACCGGTGGGTGATGTGTGGTGATTGGCAAGTGATGGATAGGCAGGTAGCTGTGTCACTGGGCAAGTCAAGACAATCGGCATACATGATAGAAATACAATATAATACTATTACAGTATCCAATGAAAACTTCATTAGGTCTTTGATTTGCCCCTTCATTCAACAGAGCATTCTCAACAAAGATGGGGCTTAGGTAGGGTGTTTGCTTTCCGCGGGCTTAAACGATGATAGTGGAAGGGTTCAGAAAAGATGGATCAAGAAATCAAGTTTAAAAATTATATAATGATGAGATTAAAAGCAGAGGAGGGCCGGGAGAAGATGGCAGATGCCTTCTTTTATGCTGACAAGTGAGAAACAGGTTTTCGCCTCAGACAGACTGAGCTCTTAAGCAAATGGGGTCTGACCTGAGTAATTGCTCTCTACCTGGGGTCTTTCAACACAGTGTGTGACCTGGCCTGGGGGCAATGATGCAGGGGTCTTGGGGAGAACAGAGCCAGAAGGATGAGCCCCCTCACCCCCACTCCGTGGCCCCTCTGACTTTTCACAGAGTGTCAGCAGGATGTAGTTTCCTACCCTGTGGGCCAATCTGACCTGGCTGCGCTGGCTTCTGGGAGGGCAAATATCTGCCTTCAAGTCACTCAAAGGAAACACCCGCTCTGCCTTCATTGGTCAGGAACTTTGACTCACTTGTGACCTGGTTTTGAACTAGTGACCTCAAGGTGAATGGCTCTGTATCTCATTACTAATTCCGCAGAGCCACAAGGTTCTTCCTCCCATCAGGAGCAGGAAGATCTTCTTAGGGTCAGAGCAGAAGTCCAGCCAGGGGCTCTGAACCCATCAACAGAGCTCCTGCCCCAGCTTTAGCCTTGCCATATGGCCTCCTGACATGCCCCGGCCTTTAGTCCAGCCTGACTGAACAGGTTTTGGAAGAGGCCAAGGTCACCCTGGGGCTGACCTACACAGATGGATTTAGCTAGAGACTCCATCTTGGTTCAGGGTACTCACGCACACTCCTCCCCCACAGAGAACTGAAGCCAGACAAAACCTAGATCTCAGCCAGGTGAGATCTAACTAGATCTAGAAACTGTAGCATTCCCCACGCCCTCACACACAATATAACTCGGCCCTCCTTTTTCTCTATTCTGTTTCCTTCTGAACCCCAGTTTTCTTGATATCTCGAGTTTTGGTACTCTGACCCCTCAGGAGATCATTGCCATAGCCCCTGAGATTAGTGTTTAGCTGAGACACACCCATCCAAGTGTCAGGACAAGTACTGAGAGGGAAAAGATATTTAGCAACACTCTATGAGCTCTCTTCACTCTTGCTTTCTAGCTAGGAATGCTCAAAATGTGCCCATTCAACAGTGCAGCAGGTCAAGGCCCAGAGCCCTCAGGTAAGACCAACGCTTAGATAAAACCTGGTCTTCCTGAGCCACAGATCCCAGGAGAAACAGGCAGGAACGGTTGGAGGTTATGCAGCAACTGTTAGGACGTCAGATACACGGATTTGGATTTTGAATTTTGGAGTCTGGGCTCTGGAGATGGAAGCAGTACCCTGCAGGCAGCAGCTGGCAAGCACTCGGCAGTTGGGTTCCATGGTTCTCATTACCCAACCACAGACACACTAAACTCTTACTCCATGGAGTCCAAGTCCTCTGTGTCAGCCCATACTACTTCAAGTTGGCATGGAAGACATTTTCTTTCCAAAGGAATGGTCTTATGCACAGGGATGTGAACGTGCCCCGTCTTATCTCACCTTGTGTGTATTTCTATACAAGAGTATTGCACTTCTGCACCCCAATAGTTCCTTCCTAGGACCATTTCCTCCTCTACCCCAGGAATTACTCAAAGTTGAGAGCCCTCCATTATAGATGGCTAAGAACGTTACCAAAATGACATGTGTGCAGAGGGCCTGAAAAGTCAACTTTTCTTCTGTGTCTCTTTGGATTTACTGTAGAATTCACAGCAGTTAGAGCTACGAAGACAAGACATGGGGGTGGAGAAATCTGGCGTAAAATAGTAAAATCACAGCTTGCTGCCAGTCATGGTGGTGTTCAATTGTAAGCCTGACGGAGAAAGGAGAGTCACAAGTTCTAGGCCTGCCTGCAACACTCAGCAAGTTCAAGACTAACCTGGGCATTAGGGAGACTTTGTCTCCAAATAAAAATAATGAATGAGCACTGGGCACAATGGCTTACATCATAATTCCACATTTGGAAGGCTGAGGCAGGAGAATTGCCATGAGTTTGAGGCCAGTCTGGGTTACAGAATAAGATCCTGACTCAAAAAAAAAATGTCTAAAAATGTAAAAGTAAGAGAAATGCATATCAAAACAACTCTGAGATTCTGTCTTACACCTGTAAGAATGGCCAAGATCAAAAACACTGATGACAACTTATGCTGGAGAGGTTGTGGGGTAAAGAGACACTCTTCCGTTATTTGTGGGAGTGTAAGCTGGTACAGCCCCTTTGGTTTTCAGTTTGGCAATTTCTCTGAAAATTAGGAAACAACTTTCCTCAAGACCCAGCAATACCACTTTTGGGTATATATTCAAAGGATGCTCAATTGTGCCACAAGGACATGTGTTCAACTATGTTTACAGAAGCATTGTTTGTCATAGTCAGAACCTGGAAATAACCTAAATGCCCCTCAAACAAAGAATGGATAAGGAAAATGTAGTACATTCACACCATGGAGTACTACACAACAGAAAAAAAAAACAACGTCTTGAAATTTTCAGGCAAATGGATGGATCTAGAAAACATCATACTATGTGAGGTAACTCAGACCCAGAATGAAAATTATCATATGGACTCACTCATAAGTGGTTTTTAAACATAAAACAAAGAAAACCAGTCTACAAACCACAATCCCAGAGAACCTAGACAACATTGAGGACCCTAGGAGAGACATACATGAATCTTATCTACATGGGAAGTAGAAAAAGATAAGATCTCCTGAGTAAACTGGGAGCATGGGGACCTTGGGAGAGGGTTGAAGGGGAGGGGAGAGGCAGGTAGAGGAGCAGAGAAAAACTATGGAGCTCAATAAAATCAATAAAATAATGTAAAAGTACTAAGAATCACCCTGTGGTAGGACACTTGCCAAGCATATACAAAGTGCCCTTTTTCCCCCAAATTTTACCAAAATGGAGTAATATAAAGGAGTAATGTTCTGGTGTGTAGGGTGGGGATCCTGTGGTGTCTAAGAGCTTCAGTTTCTGAGGCTTAGATAGTTGATCCATCACGGTAGGCTTTGCCCTCTTGACCTAGTGACTTCATCTTCCGGAGCCTCAAAGTCCCCATCTTTAAATTGAGGACTAACCACAGAATGTACTCTTAAGAGACTCAGTTTGATTTTTAAAGTGAAGTGCTTGGAATGGCATCTGGCAGGACACAAATACCCATGAAGCACTGGGGTCACAATTAGGACACGGGCCCCAGTGGGCCTTCAGTGGGATACAGACTTTCAATATGTGTGTACTCTCCACTGGCAGCCTGGATGCTTCAGGGTCTGGAAAGAGCTTCAGTGAGCAGTAGCCACCCCAAGGCACCCTCCCTAAAGAGTGAGTGTGGCCAGTCTGGTTACAGGAAGGATATCCCATGGAAAGTAGAAAAGGGAGAACAGGAAAGAAGAGAGGCTCTGTTTAGAGCAATTCCTTCGACCACTGCCACTTGTGTGGACACGGGGCTTGGAGACACTGGGGCAGTTTGGGTGCCATTTTGACCACTAGAGGTCAGTGGAATGTTATCTAAACTCAGGTCCGTCAGGGACCGATAAGAACTGACCACACCATCATTCACAACACCCTCCTTTGCAGGATCCAGGTTTGTTTCGCTTTACTGAGGAACCCAAGTCATCCACCCTTTTCTGGATCCTTCTCTGAGCAGGCTGCATTTGCAAAGCAATGCTCTAGGCCAGTGGTGGGGAGAAGATAAGACATGTGGCTGGAGACACCACTCTTCTTCAAAGCTTAATGGCCCAGATGCTCAAGACTGCCATTGATCCCCTTTTTCTAACAAACACGGTCTAAGATACTTAGGGTCCTACTCACTTGCAGCCCTCCATCCCGAGCATCCTGGGGTTAAGCATCTGTACCCACCTCTGCTCCTTCTCTTCATCACATGCACATCCAGAAGACTGCCCCGTTTTGCAAGGTCAGCATTGAGCACCGTAGCGGAATCATACGCATTTACCGACACTTCACACCATTTCCTAGACACAGTTCCAAATGAAGACTCTTTCGTCTTCGTGGCTCGTCTTCTGTCCCATGAGCACCTTCGGAACTCGGGTTATGATTCTTCCTGTTTCCACGGCCACAGTTCCCAGTCCAAAGGTGATGCTGATGAAGACATATTTGCTGAATAAACAAAAAAGGGAGGGATGAGTGAGTGTGGTCGTTACTCGAACTCATCAGTTTTCATCACGGACAGCTGCGCTCTCTGGCCCATGGTGGTAAACGGAAACTTCTGAGCAGAGTGAAAGAGTTCACTCTTTTTGCTTCCCAGGGCGAGCCAGTCAAGCCTCTGCCTTGGGGCTACCTGTACCCCGGTAGCCCGGGCTGCTAAGATGTGCCCAAGGCTGGTCATGCTGTCCTCTTTGCAGGCATACAATGTGATCGCTTTTTTCTAATTTCCTTTCTTGTGAGAGATTATCACACGAGTCAACAAAACTTGGAGAAGTTCAAAGGGCCTCATTTTACCTTAGCGCAGTAGAGAACATGGATTAGCCCTTTGAGCCTAGAATGAATGTTGTCAGCCCTGTGTTGTACCAAATCAAGAACTAGGGCAGCAGTTCTCAACCTGTGGGTCGCGAGTGCCCCTTCCACAGGGGTCACTCCAGACCGTCTGCATATTTTACATTATGATTCGTGACAGTAGTGTCTTAAGCCACCTTTTGGAGGTGACTTCTGACGCAGTAAAGCCGTGGTGGGTTCATATGTTCCAAGGTAACAAATGCTAGGTAGGACAAACAGATAAGAAAGAAACACAGACATAGGATAGTACTGGAAGGGCAACTCAGTGGGTCCGGAACGCTGAGTTCTGAGTTCTGAGGTCTCCTGTGCTTAATTTTTCATACACTTTTTTCCCCCTATACAAAAGCAGGGAAAGAAGGCAAAGGACCGCTTTAACGTGACACAGAGGCCAACTGGAACAGCTCCTTGCTTCAATACTCGAGACGTCAAGCCACTATTTCCTGAGTAAGGCATTTGATGTTTGTCAAATATCTCCACCATAATAAGCTTTTGGTCCCAGCACTCCAGAAGCAGAGAAAGGCAGATCTCTGTGAGTTCAAGACCAGCCTGGTCCAAACAGTGAGTGGTAGACAGCAGACCAACCTGGGCTGCACAGTAAAACCCCAACTCAAAGACCAATTTTAAAAAGAAAGAAAAGAAGGAAGGATGAACTGTAGGCCCAGGTCACTGGAAGAGAGAACAGATGGGCAGCTAAGGAAAGGACCGCTCCAGAAATATCTGACTTGACTCAGCCCCTGGGTTTAGCACCAGGACTACCTCCTGCCTTGCTTTCTCCAGGCCCACATTGTGCCTACCAAATCAAACAAATCAAGAATCAAAGCTACGGAGTCACTCGTCCAAGACCACACAACTGTCACGCAGCCTTTGCCTTCCTCCAAGACTGTGGAGCACCATGGGAGGCTTTGAGATCCTGGCCTAGTGTGTGCGGTGCCAGGCCGAGTTCCTCACACAAGAGCTACCTCTCAGTTGTACTGCTTGAATGGTGAGGCCAACAATGGGACCAGGAAAAGACAGTGAGAACTCAGCACTGGCAACTCTACAGGGGTGAAGAGCTGAGGTAGGTGAGCGTGGAAAGGTGCTTCAAGGCCGGGCCTCTTGGCAACTGTTGAGAGAAGCTTCTCCGAGAAGTCCTAGTTTCCTTTCGTTTCCCTCTGAAAGTTTAGCAGATATTTCGTCTACAGAAATCTCTGCCGTGAGCCTTCCCCCAGTCAGCCTTGTCTGAGGCAGGGGTGAATGAGTGGTGTCCTTTTCTATCTTCTCAGTGGCCAGGCACTGGGATTCCTTAGTTCTAGGTCACAGGAACCTTTTGAAACCAGGGAATCGGATTCCCTTTGGGGAGTTCTTATTCTCATAATTAAAAAATTAAGAATGAACTCAGACAGCCGCTCAAAGACAATCTCCTCAGAGTTTGGAAAGAAACACTGCCGGGGACAGCAAGTCTGTAAATCCCGACCACCCTCTGGAGCAGGGGAATGGAGGAAAGAAGGAAAGAGCTGTCACAAGCGTCACACACGACAGACGAGCAGCCACATGGCAGTGAGGGAAACTTGAGGGAAAGTGTTAGTAAGCCTGAAATGCAGGGGGAACCAAAGTACGAGGAAAACATGCTTAGAATAGAGACAGGAGGAGGAGGAGAAGCTACACTCCTCTGAGCGACGCAGACAAGCAGACAGACTTGCAGAGCTACGGGATTGCCCAAGCTGTGGTGCTGGGGGATTCTGGGAAGGAAAACTAAAGTGTGTCATTAGCAGACTAATTATTCTGCTTAACTCTTAAGCATGGCTTAAGGTGAACCTGCCTTCCTAGAGGTGGTTCCTTAGTCAAGCAACTTAGCCCAGCTGTCATGTTCCATCTCCAGCCAAGCCAGAGACTCTATTCTCTTGTCCAGAAGTTTTTTCTACTCTAACACTTTGTTACAGTTTTGTGTGTGTGTGTGTGTGTGTGTGTGTGTGTGTGTGTGACAGAGAGAGAGAGAGAGAGAGAGAGAGAGAGAGAGAGAGAGAGAGAGAGAATCAGTCCACAGTTTTTACTTTGAAGCAAGGTTTTGTTCATCCTGAGTGCGACTGGACCAGCAGAATTCGGGATTCCCATCCATCTCTCCCTGCCATCTTATCACAGGAACAGTGGGATTCCCAACACACGTATGGTATTGCCCAGCTTTTCGTGGGTTCTGGAGATCCAGAATCAAACCCTTACACCTACAATGCAAGCGCTTTGCCCACTGAGCCATCCCCCAAGGCCATTCCTTATACTTTTCAGAACTTATGATCTACTTTCATTGATCTTCACAAGGAGCCCTATGAGGGTGGCATTGGTACCCTACCTCACTGAAGCTCTCTAACTTGTCCCAGGTCATTCATTCTGTTATTACCAATAAAACCTGAACCCAGAGGGTGTGGACTGCAGAGAGCATGTGCACATGGTATTAACACAGCACCATCTTTCCACAGGTATGTGTGTATGTATGTTTGTACGTATATATGTATGTATGGTATCTCCATGAACACATGAGCAAGAGGAATGTGGGGAGAGAGGTAGGCAGGCAATTTCTTTGTGTGTGGACTTAACGTTCCACACTTAAGAAGCATCCTGCTTCATATAACAATCATTTCTATTCAAACTTATGTATAGAGTCAGTGGCATGTCTCGGTGAACAAAGGTGGCACCTGCTACAAAGCCTGCTGGCCTGAGTTTGATCCCTGAGACCAGCGTGACGGAAGAAGTGAGAATCCACTCCTCTCCTCTTTTGACCTTCCTATGAGGCATGCTCCAAGGCTGGGGACATAGCTTGATGATCAAGCAATGGCCTAGCATGTACGAGGCCCTGAGTTACATCCTCAGTATCCCTAAATAAATAAAAAATACTCGATTTTTTAAAAATCTGCTTATTTTACAACCCAGCTGCAGGCCCCCATCCTCCCCCCCTCACTCCTTTTCCTTCATTACCCCCTCCATCCCCTCCTCTCCCATCTCCACCCAGGAAAGGGCAGGTTTCCTACAGATACTCATATTCATCTTTTCTTGCCAAAATGAGGACTGGAGGAGGAAGAGAACAAAAAAGTGGATGGATCACTGGCCATCATCCTCTTCCATTCACCCATGCTTGCATGTGTTTCCTGTGCACACAGCCCTGTCTAACGGCTCTCCGAGTCCTGCTCCAGGATCTGTCTCCCAGTGTTGCGGACTGACAATGTGGAGGGTAGCTTCATCCAGGCCTCCCAGTACCTGGCTAATCTCCACTGCGGATGTAGCCTTTGCCCTGGCATTCAGCAGAGGACAAGAAAAGAATGTGTTTCCCCTTTCTTCCCAGGCCCTACCTGGGCGTGGTAGCCTCTGCTGTCACTAGAAGGCTTCTGTAAATAAAGCCTGCTTAATCTCCTTAGCCTGAAGGCTGTGTCAGCTGGGTCTGGGCGACAGGAAGGCAGCTCGTGCCTGAGATTCTCCAAATTGTTAGAGGCAGTGGGTGAGCCCCCTCACACCCCTTCAGCAGAAGGCCTGCATTGGCTTGTCCACACAGCCAATCTGGGCATGCTCTGTGAGACTGCCTCGACACAGAGAGGGACTTGAGCAAATACCCGGAATGCCAGGCAACTGGGCAGCCCACAGGCTGTAGCATCCCATTTCCTTCCTCTTGGCAATTCCCCAGCGCTCCCAAATGAAGTCCCACAGTATGGCTTATAGCTGAAGCTATATATTGGGGAGTGGAGTGTCTAAGCTTGCACAACTAGCAGGTACCTCTAAGAAAAGCAACACAAACTAGCAGCCACACCCAGGCTTTAAAAGGGGTCCAGGAAAACTGAAACTTTACATTCATTAGCACCATGAAAAAAAAAAAAAAGCAAAACGTCACCTTGTCACCTTGTTTCCATTTACTTTTGCAACTTCTGATTCCTTTTTTAAGTTCCCCTCCCTCCTTTCTAGATGCTTCTACCACTCAGGTGGCATCTTAGTTGGTTTTTTTTTTTTTTTAATCATTGTGATAAAACACCATGACTGAAAGCAACACGGAGAGCAAAGGGTTCGTTGTAACTTAGTTTATAGTCATCTTGAAGGGAATTCAAGGCTAGGACTCAAGCAGGAACTGATACAGAAGCCATGGAGGGGCGCTGCTTACTGGCTCCCTATGGCCTGATGAGTCTGTTTTCTTATAGAACCCAGCACCACCTGCCCAGGGATGGTTCAGCCCCCATTGAGCTGTGACCCTACATCAATTATCAACCCCCCACACTTGCCTACAGTCCAATCTGATGGAGGCATTTTCTCAAATGATGTCCTTCTTCCCAGACAACTGTAGCTTGTACCAAGTGGACAAAGAAACCCAACAAGACAGAGGACATCTTCCAAATCTTGTTTGATACGCTCAGCTGCTGTGAGGTGCCTCTTCTTGGGAGATGGATGCCAGCTCCTCTGAGAGACTGGGAACAAGAGCCATTGGGGCTGCTGTTGTACTGAGGTCTGTGTACCAGCACTGACTGTGCTGCACATGGACCGCAAGGTGCATCAGTATAAGATACTGTTCTTCTCATGTTCTTCACTATAGCTTTCCAACGTTAACAGCCTTCAGACACCTGCACCTGCTTGGTCTGTGCCAAACTGCCTTTCTC